ACAAGGAGCCTGTAGATGCAGATGTTTAAGGACGGGGACACCCCAGTGGTCAGCAGCTGCCACTGGTTCCTCAACTAGATCATCATCCCTATGCTGGCACACTGAGCCTAGATCACCATCTCCTACGATGAGCTCTTTCTTTAAGTCACTTTATGTGGGTTCAGTTTTCAACTTGCTCAGAGCTGTTGGCCTTGCCCTCTGCTGACCTCTTGGATCACTTCCGGGTCTCTGAGACACTGCTGTCTCTTCCACAGGCCATAGACAGAGGGAAAAACCTTTCCCATAATCCTCTTAGAGCTTGGATTCCAAGTACTTCTCAACCTTCCTAATGGTCAAGTTATGTGACCCCCAACCATAAAATGATTTAGTTGCTATGTCGTAACTGTAATTTTGCTACTGTTATGAATTGTAATATAAATTTATGTTAGGCAGCCCATGGGAAAGGGTCATTCAACCCTGAAGGGAGAGGTGACCCACAGGTTGAGAAGTTCTGCCTTGGAAGGTTTTGTTGTCATTCATCATTTTCTCCATCAATATGGTCACCAGTGTCCCTTCAGCCCTTCAGCTGCAAACAACAACAACATTTAATAACTCGCAGCTTCGCCAGGACTCACTTCAGAACTGTTCTTGCATTGGGAAGATCATTTTCTTCTCAGAGTCCCGGCTTTCAAATCTACCACAGCTGCTCATGTAACAGTGAGGCTGGAGGGAGAGGCGGGACATCCGCCCATGCGCAGGCCGGTCCTTCAGGCCCACCAGAGCAGGACTCCTCTATGCAGATTCCACCTCAGGTACAGGACCACCTCTTCCGCCAGAGCACTTCCTGTAGAGGCTCTGCTTCACTCTTCACAGTCCACATGTCTTCTTCCCATCCTGCGGGAGCTACTGGAGGGCGGTGGTTGCCTTCCTTCAACAAATGTGTTGAGCGACATGTGGTCGCTTTCAGGTCTAGGAACCAGAAAGTTGGCGAGGAAGGGCCAGGACATGTCTCTTCCATATGCTTGCCTTTGCACTTACGGAGCTGCTTATAAGTCTATTAGTTAGCTACGGGCATGTGTTAATTTACCCCCCAAACTTAACAGGATAAAACAAACAGATGTGTACCTCCCTCACATGTTTTCTGAGGAAGTCATAGGCATTGCCAGCTTTTCTTAATTTAAATTCTCTCTGTCTACCTTTTGCTTCTGGGATTTGACCTCTCTCTATTTCTGTATATCTTTTCTTTCATTCTCATTCCGCATCTGGCTGAGTGTCTGACCCCTTCTTTTCTCGCTCTTCAACCTCTCCTCCCGATTTCTCCTTTTATTTATTCCTCCTGCCAGGCCCTCCTATCCTTTCTCCTGTTTTGCTATTGGCCATTCAGCTCATTAGACCAATCAGGTGTTTAGACGGGCAAAGTAACACAGCTTCAGAGTTAAACAAATGCAACAGAAAAGAATGCAACACATCTTTGCACCATTAAACAAATATTCCACGGCATAAACAAAATAATAAATGTAACACATCTTAAATTAATATTCCACAACAATTTGCCATCTTTTTCAGATAAAGATTTTGCTAAAAAAAAAAAAAAACCTCCTCACTTAGAAAAAAAAAAAGGGGGCAATAATAAAAACATGCTTCTCTATGGTCTGGTGTGATGACTCAGTCATTAAAGCGCTTGCTGCCCAAGTGTGAGGATCTGAGTTGGATCCCTTTCAATCCACATCAGAAGCCAGACTTGACAGCACACACCTGCAGCTCCAGTACAGCCAGGGGACTCCTCCAGCAAACTGGTCTGTCAGTCTAGCCAAATGGGTGAATCCCAGAGTCAGCAAGAGACCTGTCTCATAAAATAAAGCAGAGCATTGAGTCAGTCAAAGTTGAGCTCTGGTACGCACACACACACACACACACACACACACAGTAACAAACGTTCCTCCATTTGTTAGTCTTCATCTTAATTCCTCTTTGCTTCCCTTGCAGTCATATTCTCTAGCATTGTGCAACAGGACACCTCCTGTTAGGAGCTAGCAATATGCATGCAAGCTGCAAAGGTTAGCCTTGAGGTAGCAATATATGTGTCTGTGGCTTTCCTCCCTCTATTCTGTTTTGAGACTCAGGGGTGGGAGACACAGCCCAGGACAGCTGGGATGTGCACTGTATAATGAGAGTTAACGTGTGTGTGATATTATGCACTGTATAATGAGAGCTAACATGTTTGTAATATTAGGCAGTGCTCTGCCTACTGCCCTGGCTCTTTCAGGAGGCAGGCTTTTTTTTTTCACTGTTAAGTGGCAATAAGAAAGTTAGTGACTCTCACCAGAAGAGGTAGATGAAGTGTTCCCAAAGCCTACATGTTCAGGAGTAAAACCAGTTGGTTCCTAGTATAGGAAGAGATGGAAAATTCTAGAAAGAAAATTCCAGGTAAGTTAAAAAGATGTGCTCTGTTCAAATGCTAGTGGAAAACCAGATTAATTTCCCAAATTTGCTACCATTTCAGGACCGAGGAGAGTGATCGTCGACTTTTATTTCTTTGGCAGTTAGCTTTGCATTGTGCCTGATGTTTTATGGCGAGATTGTGCAACCGTCCTGATTAGTGTTTTAAAGGCAGTGTTTACAATAAAATGGAGTATATGAATGGGAAAATGTTGTTCAAGTCAAAACACCTGAGGATCCAGGACATCAATTGCCACCCACAATTTCCCCATGGTAACAAAACCTGCAGAGGCCAAGAATTAGTTAGTAAGGATACTCAAGAGAGAAAACACAGCTCTTGACGTTCCTCAAAACCAATGAAACTACCAAGGGACTGCAAAGATCTCACCAGCTTCAGTTTCTCTTGCCAACCCTTTCCTTCTCTGTACCTGTCCAGTTAGCAGCACTGGACTATGAAGGGCAGTCCCTCTGGAGGTGCCTTCCACCTCCATGGAACAAAAAGTGAAACAGAGACATTGTGCTTTGAAAAGAATGCCATACATTGATTCTTATAAATTGTCATAGGAGGGTTTCGCATTGATTGACATAGGAGGTTTGCAAGTTTCCAGGTCTCTGTGTGGGCTCTTAAGGACTGCCCTGAAGGACAAATTGAGTTGACAGGTCACCTGAGTCCTAACGCAAGGTAGCTGCTATTTGCAGTCTGAGGATGGGGCCTAGGGCCCAGTGTGTGCAAGATAAGCTCTCTACCACTCAACTACCAACCACCCTTTTATTTTTATTTTGAGGCAAGGGCTCACTAAGTTACCCAGGCTGGCCTTGAACTTACCATGCAGCCCAAACAATCTTAAATTTGCTATACTCCTGCTTATCCTCTCAAGTAACTATATTGACAGGTATAATGGTTAATCTCCCCCTTACCCCCACCCTCAGACAGAGTTTCTCTGTGTAACCACCTAGCTGTCCTGGAACTCAATTCTGTAGACCAGGTTGGTCTCAAACTCGTAGAGATCTGCCTGCCTCTGCCTTCCAAGTGCTGGGATTAAAGGCATGCACCACCACACCCATCTATAATGGTTAATTTTAATTGCCAAATTCATTGGCTTTGAGAATCACCATAAAATCACCCCTCTGTGTGTACCCATGATGGTCTTTCCAAAAAAAATTTAGCTGAAGAGGGAAGGTCTACCCTGAATCCAGGCAGTAGCATCCTGTGGGCTGTAATTCTGGTACTGGATAAAACAGAGTAAGTGGGCTAAACACCGCCACTCATCTCTTTCTGTTTCCTGACTGTGGACGCAGTATGATGTCACACTACTGCCACCATGCAATATGGACGACATGCTTGGACCAAACAACATCATCTTCCTTATTGCTTTTGTCAGATATTTTATCGCAACAACAAGAAAATCAGTACGCCAGGCAGTTAGTTAGCTGACTTTGGATGTGAAGCCCATAGAAGTGGACACACTGTGAGGCCCATGATAACACGCTCCGTGCTATCTCCAGCAGATGCTGGTGGCCTAACAGCACAGAATGAGGTTACTGTGAGTTTGGGTAAATTTAAACCCAAGTTTGCAAGCTGGTGATTGGATTTGGCTTACAAACCTGTTTTATTTGTGCCTTTAGCTTCTAATTAGTTGCCAACGTTAAAGATAAATAGTCATGCAGCACCTTCTAGCACAGTGGTTCTCAACCTGTGGGTCAAGGCCCCCACAGGGTTGCCTATCAGATATTTACATTATGATTCAAAACAGAAGAAAAATTGCAGTTATGAAGTCTCAGTAAGATGATTTTGTGGTTGGGGGTCACCATAACATGAAGGACTGTATGGAAGGTGGCAGTACTGGAAGGTTGAGAACCACTGCTCTAGGATGAGGTTGAGAACCACTGCTCCAGGATGAGGGTGGCAGTATCAGGAAGGTTGAGAACCACTGCTCTAGGATGTCTGCTTCTTCCAGAGCAGGTGCCCCGCCCATAGTCTATCAGAGCCTTGTGCTCATCCCCGCTTACTCCTCACCACTGCAGAAGTTGGAACTTGCGAGTCCTATTCCTTTAGAGTCATTATTAACATGTGTGCATGTATGTACCCGAGATGTGTATGTGTGGTGTGAATGACATAGTAGACTGTGGAGGCCAGAGGGAAACTCCATGGAGCCATTTCTCTCTGTGGGGATCAAAGCTGAGTCCCAAGTATGTGCAGCAAGCATTTTCATCCATTGAGCCATCTTGCAAGCCCAGCAATTCTTAATTTAACTTTTCTCAATGTTCCCTGGATTGCATGAGGTAATGGCACTTGGTAAAGAACATACATTAAAGTCCATCTTAGTGTGCTTCTCTTACTTGGAGATGGGTTTGTGGGGACCACACAAACCTGTTTGGGTTGTTCATAGAGGGTGCATGGAGAGCAAAATTCTGAATGGCTCATGATGGTCTTAGGAAGTTCCTGATTGGGGTGGCTGTGTTATAGATGTGCAGAAGGGCGTAAACATCTGTATAAAAGAGGGAGAGGTGAGGCCTCAAAAGAAAAACAGTCCATGAGGTTGTTTTCAAACATCGTTTCTGTTCCATTTCTCCTCTTTTAGGTCCATGTCACAAGCGGCGGGTGGGTGGATGCTGTTCCCAGCTGGGCTCCCTGTCAGCCCTGAAGCACGCAGTCCTGGGGCTCTATCTTCTGGTCTTCCTGATTCTTGTGGGTATCTTCATCTTAGCAGGTAAGAGCAGCCTTTCTGTGTCCAGGGCTTTGGGGATGAGAGAGGGAGACTCATCGCCTCTGCTCCCCACTCCCACTGCCATAAGCCCAAATGCCACTCTTGTTACTATGGAAACCAGAGAGGAAGATGCGGGCTTACCCTGTTGCTGTGGAAACGACAGAGGAAGACGATGGCTGGTCTTTCTGATCAGACACAGTCTTCGGTAGTGCTGCTTGTTTCTGTGTGGAGTGGACTGGAAGGGGAGGCTATTTGAGGTTGTAGGCCCTCTGAAGCCAGTGGGATAGATCCAGCTCTCCAGGGTGACTGGCTGTCCCTACATCATCCCTGACCCTGCATCACCATGGGACGTATGCCTTATACAAGGCCTCTCTAACCTCTGGGATGTAGTGTGTCCCTAGGGTGTCATCAAAATAGTCACGTGGCACTTTGTTGCTGAGGCTAATCAGGGTTGGGGAAGCCTGCTTCCCTTTGCAGTTATGAGGAGGAAGAATTGGTTCTATCTCAACTCTTGGATCTTCCTCCATGGTTTTTTTTTTTATGAGATGGGTCTTTGATGGGTAGGATGGGAGGGGGACATCCTTTAGATAGGATGAGGCAGAGCTGGCAGATTTAGAAAGGGATGGGGTGTTGGCACATATTTAATCCCAGCACTTGGGAGGCAGAGCCAGGCGGATCTTTGTAAGTTCAAAGCAAGTGTGATCTACATAGTGAGTTCTAGGACAACCAAGTTTATATAAAGAGAAATTGTCTCAAAAAAAAAAGGAAGGAAAAAACTAGAAAGGATCTAACGGGAGCCTGTTGGCTTTGTGCTGTGAACAGCCCAGTTTCCCAGCTGCGGGCCATCCCACCATGGTGGAGACAGCAAAGCCAGGCTCTTATGGTCTCTTCCTGGCTCTTCCCAGAAGACGGAATGCTCATTTACCATCTTCTTAATGGAGACATGGACAGTTTGGCAAAGTAGGCCAAAGGGGCCACTCTGTCACATGAGAACCTACTTTGTGCCAGGCTCTGTGCTAAGATACAGCTCAAAAAGACCAGGGGATCCTCTCAAGGGGTTTCCACTCTAGAGGCTGATCCAGGGTCAGGTGACTAGAGCCCTCTCAAGGAGAAATACGGTGGCCACTGTGCTAGGGTATAGAATGACGCTGGAATGGGGCACTCTGAGAAGATGGCTGTTGCCTGAGAGGGTGGGGTTGTTTGGAATGAGGCGGTGGACCAGGCAGAGTTAACTTGGAGTGCTCAGGGTGGGGTCCTTGTGTTAACGAGAGGGCAAGCCTCTGGAGGTTCAGCCCATACAGATGACCCTTTGCTGGAAATCCTGAAATGAGGCCCAGGACCTCCCTGATCTTGACTCACTCCCCATCATGTGGGACAAGCCACTTGGGCATTGTAATGGGATAGCTGGTGTTGCCTGTGCCTTCAGGGTTCCATACTCAGGGTTTCAGGGGTGGTGCCCTGTCTCACCAAGAGCTACGCTGAGGAGTGGCCAACAGCAACACAGAGAGAAACCCATGATTCATCCCAGCGACCAAAGGATGGTTGGTGTTCAGCAAGGTCTATCATGGGCCAAGCCAGCCAGGGGATGATTTGAACATGTTCTTGGGATCTGGGTTTTGTGGTTTTGGCTGCCAGGACCATAACAAATTTCTGGAATGTTTGGAAAGTGTCTCAGCCCAGCAGGAAAGCCATGGTGTTACAAGTGCTCTGAACAGGAACTTTTAGGTGACCAAAGGGGGTTTCCAGGAAAGGGACAAGGGTGGGAAGGGACCTGGGATAGGACCTTGGAGGCTAAGGGTGGGGGCAGGGAGGTATCGTCTCATCTCAAGAGAAATGTGCCGGGGAGGAACGCCTTCTGATGTCTGAAGGGCTGCCACATGGAAAAGGGTAGACATGTTTGGCTTGGCTGAGGGTGGACCTGAGACCAAAGGGCAGATACTGTGAAGATGGATGTCCCTTCAGAACAGAGAACCAATGCCATGCAGCCAAGCCGTGCAGCAGGACACAGTTAGGCTCTCTCTTTCTTGGTTTAGTGGTCTCGTGGGATTTATGATGACATCCTGGAAGCTTCAGAAAGGAGGGCGGAATGGGGTTTCCCAATCTTGTGAAAATGCTGCCAGGCGTCCTTAGCTGTTCAAGTTATCCAAACCTGAGCAGGGTTTTTTGTTTGTTTGTTTGTTTGTTTGTTTTAGTTATTGCTGTCACCTTTGAGCCTGTAAGTTTTGGAGTAATGGATTATTGCCTGGGTACGATGAAAATTTTGAACAGATTGGAACTAATCTCTTGGCTTGGAGGATGTGGCCATTATCAACTGCCTAGGTTCTTGTCTGGACAGGCATGTTGGCCTCAGGGAGAGGTTTTATAAGGGAAGTCCACCGAAATGCAGGAAGCAGTGGCCACTCCCACAGGAAGGAGAATATTGTACTGAGTAGAATTCCTTAAGGAGGCCTTCCCAGTCTCAGGGAAGAGGGCTCTTTGGTCACCTGCCCCCTCCTAGCAAATACCAAGATGGTGGGAAATGGAGGAGTTGGTTCAGGTGACCTAGAGTTGCCTGGCTGGCTGCCTTGGGGGTTCTCACTGGGAGTGCTTCACCTCAGGCAGAACCAGCCATCCATACCCTCCATGCTCTCCTGTATTATAGCCCACGCTGAACTGGAATTCACTACATAGACCAAGCTGTCCCCAAATTCTTGGCAATTCTCTGTTTCCTGAGTCCTGGGCTTATAGGTGTATACTACCACACCTGGCTTTAATTCTTTCTTAATAATAGCAGTTGACCATTGCTATCATCTTCTTCAATCATGGGAATACAAAGGTAATGAGGTGTGGTTGCTGCTCAGGATGAGTTTAAAGTCTCTCTCTCTCTCTCTCTCTCTCTCTCTCTCTCACACACACACACACACACACACACATACACACACACACACACACACACACACACACAATGTAGCTTATGTTACATAGCAGATTATGCAAGAGGAATGTCCCATTCCCAAACACTAGCGTTGAAGAGTCCTCTGCCTAGGGGAGATTCTACACTATAGATTCTGATGTCAACATGCCTCTTGGGGGTCAGTGTGTGATGCCATCAGTCTTTATTGCGACAATCTGGTGGCATCTGTGTCTGGCAATCCTGTGTCTGTAGCTGTGGTCAAGGACATTGCTCATTGTGTTACAGAATCTTGACGGTAAGGATAGCAGAGAGAATTTTCCCTGCCCCTGTGGCAGAAGGAGGTGTGCACCTATGAGGAGTTAATTTTCTCTCTTTCTTCCTGAGGAGGCTGTAACTCTTAAGTCATTAAAATCACTTTTGAGGAGGTAATTAACATGGACAGAGTCAGCTGTCACCATGTTGTACCTTGTGGGAATTTGAAGGTAATTAAAACAAGAACCGAGAGACACATCTGTAGTCTACCTGTAGCAAGTGCATAGACCACAGAGAAATGATTTGGGGTGTACCGAGTTTGTGATCCATTTGAGGCCTCTACACTTGCCCTTCCTATGTCACCTGCTTCCATCACAGTGTATTCCAATCTCCCCACCAACAGCACTAATCCTTTTAGAACAAAGAAAGTATGTTATACTTAGTTTTGCCTTACAATTTTTTGTTTACTTGGTTTTTCTCTTCGGACTGATTTTCAAATGTGTGAATGGACGAGAGAATGAGTGAACAAGATAACCTTGGAAAAACATTCATGTGGGGAAAATGGTTATTTTCATTTTAATCAAGTATCTAAAGGATGTGAATATGGAATTGCCCTTCAAGAACATTTGGTGCTGGGCGATGATGGCACACACCTTCATTTCCAGTGCTCAGGGAGGCAGAGGCAGGTGGATCTCTGTGAGTGAGGCCAACCTGGTCTACAGAATGAGTTCCAGCACAGACAGAGATACACAGAAAAACCCTGTCCCAAAACAAAACAAAAAGAACATTTGACTAGGAGACTTAGTTATGTAGCTGAAGATTAGTACATGCTGACCCTATAGACTTCAGAGAGAGTACTAAGATAGAGAGGGTTGTGTAGTAGTTCACACTGGGGTAAGTCTGGGTCTTAGAGCTCATCTGGACTTGAACTCTGGCGTTTCCAGGGCCATGTGATGATAGCCACGTCACCTGACATTTCTGTACTAGGTCCTTTTGTTGAAATAGAGGAAGCTGGCATTCCTACTGGCCACACTGGGCTGCCATGAGGGTTAAAGTGTCAATATATCTAATGCACTCAAGAACGTACCTGGTACCCGGAAAGTGTGACTGAGGTGGGTGAGCTGGTATTATTGCTGTTGTTGATAGCCATTCTTTTCCTTGGTTTCCTTTGCTGTCAACTGAGGTGAATGATGGAGACTGGATGTTAGTTTCAGCTCATCTGAAACTATTCTCAGAGCATCTCTCTGCTAACTGGATATTAGGCTATTCATTTGTAAGACGAGCAGGGTAGACATGACCAGGGTCTCCCTCCCTCCCTCCCTCCCTCCCTCCCTTCCCCCCTCATGGCTTAGGTACATTTTACATCACAGTCAGCACCCACACACAAACCTGACATTGAAATGTCTGGTTTCACTGATGATTTTCTATCCTATTCTAGTCAATTTTTTTTTTTTAGTTTTTAAAACAGTCCCATCACAGCCATTCATTTCATAATCTCTGAATGGAACACAGCCATTGTTTGAAAAATATTGGGTCAAATGACAGTTTTATTTTCCTCTGTGTCTTTTGTATATTGTTAAAGAGTGCTGTTCCCACTAGGCTCTGGGCTCTGAGGCCAAACTTGTGGTTTGACTCCAGGCTCCACCATTGAATGGCTGTGTCATCCTGAGGGTAAAAAAGAGTAACCTTTAATAATTCTTATTTCCTCGTTTGTAAAATAGTACACACCCCTGTAGGATTGTCGTAAAGATTAAACAAATCAATGCGTGAAAACTCTCAGTTCCTGGCACAGGGAAAGAACTCAGTGGCCCTTAGATGATTAGTATTAACACACTCCGGGATTTTGTTTTGAGCATAG